CACACTTTGCACCTCCCGCGCTTATATTTCACAAGAAACCGGCGAAAGCTCGGAGTAGACCCGTTGACAAATTTCTCTACCTTCCATCAAAAACCACAGAACATATATATATATTAATTGCGCCTGGCGCCGGTCCACGAGCTCTCTTCCCGGGACTCCTGTTTTGTATTATGACAGCGTGTTCCTTCAGAAATCATAGCTTGACTTCCTATCTATGGAGTGTTTCATTCTCAACTAAAATAACCTAATCCGTTTGGCTTCAGAGCAAAGTACACCCCAAAGTGACCCTGAATGTACTTTTCCCCCAGAGGGACCCGCGATTAGAGATGTAGCGCTCACCCCCGAAGGAGCCGCTGAATATTGAAATAGGTTCTCCTACCTGTTGGATCCAGCTGCCATTCCCCTTTAATCAGCAACAGCACACCAACACTCACGGACAGAACGGCTCGAGTCTTAGGGTCTTTTTTAGGGTATTTATTTGCAACATCAATAGGAGAGAGAGGGTTTAGGATCTGTAGGATGCCATTTGGAAATACTTCTGAGGACAGCTTTCTCCCCTAGCAACCGCTAAGGCCGAAATCACTGCGATCTGGTCCCAGGGACCAATAGTAGTAGTAGTAGTAGTACTGTGAACAGATACCTGGAATAGGGTGTGGGATCTCCCTTGTGGGTCCCAGACGGACGCTCGCACCAGCTCCTCTGCGGTACCCCTCAACAAGCGGACTCCTCCCCGACCCAGCTTCCATCAGGTATTTTCCTCTTTAGGATCTGGAACTTCTGTGCCCTCAGCATCTGCAACTGCCAAGGAGCACTCCAGTTAAATGAGAGTATCTTCTTAGAACAAGGCACCCAACACCTGCCACGTGTATGGGCCCAGTGAAGTATCAGTGTATCCTTAGGCCTCCAGGCCCCTCAGCACCTGCCATGTGCTGAGGCCCAGGCTGCTTGCTCTGCATCACACACAGTCCTCCTAGGGCGAGGCCCCTAGGGGAAAGAGAGAGCTCCACAATGTCCCCAGACCTTTTATCACCTGCCCTCAACCATGCCTCTGAGTCATCCTACTCAGGGATTGGCTAGGGCCAGGTGCATAGTCATAACCTGAGGGTGGATCCTCCCTCACTGTATGCCAAGGCTCCCTTTTCCTCAGCAACAGGAGGAGCAATCAATCCAGCAGACTCAGGGACACCTATAGAATGCAGAGCTCTGTATAATCAGTATCTAGACTGGTTACAGTCCAGGTATCTCTAAATTGAATAGCGACATTTTAGAGGGCTCTACAGAGAAATAAATGAATTTCTGGTCCGAGACTCAAAGAAGGAGATGTCAAGGACTATAGGACTTGCAGCAAGTGTTTGGTGTTAGGCCTGGTTACTAAGTGATCGAAGAATAGATGAAACACTACTTATAATGCGACACATTGGCTGTTTAATATGTTACAGCCAGTATGTCTTAGGGGGATAAAAATCACGATGTTGTAGACAGACTGGACATACCAATTGAGCAGACCATGCAGCTGCACAAGGGCCCTTTGGGACTTAAAATGTATGTAAACCTTAGCAATGTACTTCTCTTATTTAGTCCCTGTTGTTCCGTTAAATTTACCTTTGAAAGTGTTTTGTTGTATCTGTTAGACAAAAAAAAGTATCTGTTGATCATGCCAGAAATCCAGTAAGCTCCCAACTTTCTGTATTCATGTGCAGGGGCGTAACTAGAAATCACAGGGCCCCATAGCAAAATTTTGTATGGGGCCCCGTGATTGCTAGTTATGCCACTTGCAGAGCCCACCGGAGAGTGACCCTGCAGAGCCCACCATAGACTCTCTATAGTGGGCTCTGCAGGGTCTGAGATCTCTTACCTGTCAGCGCTGTCTGCCTCTGTGGTCGCCGGGCCCCGATTCCTGTTTTAACTGGTAACAAATTGTTGAGTGCGTTTGTCGTTTGTTTTGCTTTACCGATTCCTGTTCCGTCCCCGGGCCCTGCCTCCTCTTTGATAGACGAGCCCCGCCTCCTCTTACATTCCCCCCTGTGCCCGAGCCCCATAGCGGCCGCCTGGGTCGCTATAGCGATTGTTACACCACTGGTCATGTGGCAATGCTGTACTGAAATCTCAAACAATGGAACCACAGAACATGCTATGGAAAGGAAGAGAAGGCTAGGTGTCCCAAAGTCCTAACATACATCCTGTCCTAGGGGGACAACATTGCTCCTCCATAGTGTGGTATTGTGTGGCAATCCTACAGTGGAATTTGGTATTATAATCACCTAGGACTCTCAGTCAGAGGGGCTCAGGGGTTTCTGGAAGTAAGTGTTTTTACAGAGAAAGAGCTGGTTTTACAGATGTTCTGGATTTTGTTTGGGATCCTGTAACCGGCAGATTACAAAGAGAAATGGGAGGGTTGGGATCTCCATTCCGGGGTCCATGTTTCTGTAGTGACCAGAACTTGTTGATTGCACAGCTGTCCACAGCCCTTATGGTAAGGGTGCTGGCTAGGGTTCAGGGCTCCATCTGGGAGAAAGGAAAGGTCAATGTCCAAGAGTCAGGAGCACTCCACCCAGAAGTCAGAGTAGAGCCAGTTGGCGTGTGCATGCTGGAGGCACATGAGAGACAGCCAGGGAGGCTGAAAGCGCTAGTGAGGCTGAGAGAGCCAGGAGACTGAGGGCCACAATTTATGTATGGGACAGCACTAAAGTGAGGACTAGTCTGAAGAGAAACAAAGGACCATGGGTCGAAACAGCCAGACAGTGAGAGTAGAAGCCGGGAGGCTGAACTTATGTCCATTTGGCAAGCAGTGCATGCGTGCTGTGCTGAACAACCCCTGCGAGGGTATGCGATGTGGATGCTTCAACCTTCATTTTAATAAAAGTGGGTTACAAGGCTCTTAATAAGAAAGTATTGCGCGCGGACTGCTTCCATAAAGCGCTCACCATATGTGCTAATATCTTCGGAACATTACAACAGTTCTAGTACAGTGAGTGAGTTGTCCTAGGAAGTGTGTTACTGGCAGGATCATTAGGTGACAATAATGGACAAAAAGTCTTACAAAAAACTAACGGAGATACCACATGTGAGGGCTAGTAAGCAGCCGTATATATATTACGTTCTTGTTCTTGGGTTTAGGGGCAAATTTATACTAGATGTGGGTCAGATGGGTGATGGGGCCACTCCCACTGTCATATAGACCTGGACATGACAAACTTCCATAAAGCTGTTAACTGATGTACAGTAAATATTTTTACTTGGCCAGTACTTCATTTTGGGGGCCCAAAAATTGCTCTCCGACATGGGCTGTTTGGTGACTCTGTCCACCACTGGCTGCAGAGCAGACAATGCAAAATCGCACTTTCTTTTTAAAGTGCACCTGCATTGGCCAAGGAAGATACAAAGTAAAGATAGTATTGAAGAGAAAACAATATAAAAATAAAAATTTTAACCCCTCCTCCCCAAGGCAGTGCTGAGCACCTGAGCATCCAGTCCTCAGAAATGAGCAGTTTTAGGGGTTTGGATACGTCACTATACCTCCCACACCATAGCAGCAGAGCTTCTGTAAAACCTGAACTTCTGGGTTGCATGTTGTCTGTGTCTGGGCACCTAATAACCAATCTGGAGCATGCCAGGTAGTGGCTTGTTGTGTGTGTGGGGGCAAACAAATTTTGATATTCAAAAAATGTGTATTTGCATAGGATTTTCGGGATTCTCGGCAGTAGGTATGTTGAAGAGAATACACCATAAGGTGGTTCATTCTTTACTTTGTCACCTGCCTTCTTTCCCCCACAGCATTTCCAAAATCATATGTAAATACTGACTGTCTGAAAGTCGGTATTTGCATGGGCTTAGGTATGCCCCCAACTGGCCGTGTTCATGATACCTGAGGATTGGATGCTTAAAGGAGAAATATGGGGTCAGTGCTTTTCCCCATAGTTCTCCTAAGGGTAACGGGAGGACACAAACTAGCGTCCTCCCGTCACCCAAAGCTCAGTATCCCAGATAGCAAGGATAACTTGCTACAAACTTGTGGCAGGGTTAAGTTGTAATTTTGTTAACTTGCTGCGTACATTCCTGGCATGTTGTAGACTTGCAGAACACTCGCAGCACAAGTTCTAGTTGACACTTTTTGAATTTGTAGCAAATTTGCTTGGCAAGTCTACAGCAAGAGTCCTGCAGGTCTTAGCAAGAGCTCTGCAAGCTCGCTGGTCTGGAGACTTGCAATGCAGACTTGCTGTAATTGTGCAACAACATTGTGAAGCTTGGCAAGTCTGCAATAGTTTAGCAAGTCATTTTCAAGCTTGCAGCTCAATTGCTTGCTATCTGGGATACCGCGACCTACAGCCCGCGGTATACTGAGACGCCGCAGCCGGAACGGATCCCGACAATGCTGTCTGGATCCACCCAGCTGCGTGAGTGACAGCTGGCTCTTCCTATCTAGAGGCAGAGCCAGCTGTACCCGCCCCCTCCCCGTCCGTTCCGCCAGTCAGTGCTGGAGGATTGGACAGGGGACGGGGGAGGGAATCCCTGCAGGGAGCCGTGATGACCGTCACGGCTCTCTGCGGGGATAGATCGAGAAGTGAGCGAGCGACGGTATGTGTTCACTCACTTCCCGATCTACTGAGCCGACCTGTGACAGTTTCATTGTCACAGGTCAGCTCAGATTATGAGGCTGAGTGACAATCCCTCGCCTCATAATTCTCCTTTAGGCACTGAGCACTGCCTATGACCATTATTTTTAAAGCCGGTGTTCTGGTTTTTGGGGAGCTCCAGAGGAGTACAGGCAAGCAGAGGAACATTATGATGCCTTATCTTCAACACGGCCTTTATTTCTTTCCTCTGTGGGCAGTACACATTCAGTTTCAGTTAATGCTACCCACTAATCAGCATTGGGAAATCAAGAGAAGGTCACATGTGTTCAGTATTTCATGAAACAATTGAAACTCTCACATACCACAAGACATTGTGTGTCCATTATACCGTCTTTCTGACCTTCATGTTTCTTTATTTTATTCCAGTCTCAAGACCCCAGAGTTCCCCAGAAGACTTGAAAGTACTAATGAGCAACGTCAATCGGTTAAACGAGAGCTTCCGAGATCTTCAGTTTAAAATCATGCAGCTGACATTTAAAGGGGATTTCATGGATCATATCTGGAAACTTCAGGATCTTTTCCAGAATCATTCGGACTCTTTGTTTCAGCTCACAGAATCCTTACAGAAACTGGAGCATAACCTTAACGGCGTCCAGAACATGGCCAGCCAAACGGACACGGTTGTCTCCAATCTTGGCGCCAGCCTCAACCAGATAAGCGACACGCACAACTTAGAAATGTACAAGTTGCACACAGAGGTCAACGGCAGTAGATACATCTGGAGCCACCATGACGCCATGTTGAAGGACCTCTCGACCAAAGTGGAGGGACTTAGTGAGCAAATCAGCGACATGTTTGGGACATTTAACGCCCTCAATGGAACATACTCCTATGACATAGGAATCCACCATTCTAGGATACTGGAGCTTCAAGGTCTTATAACCAATGTTACCGAAGATACCAGGCAAATGAGACTTCTTCATATCGTGATGGAGCAACAGCTGAAACATGAAATGGCTCTCATAAATAATGTAACAGAGGACCTACGCCTCAAAGACTGGGAGCACTCAATAGCCTTAAAAAACATCTCCGTAGTCCAAGGTAGGCCACTGACTCATACAAAGATGTTACCCCATGGGGATCTATTTACCTTATGTTCCGATACTGCTGTGATTTTGATTTGGTTTGAATATGTGCTTGCTTCTTTTTGGTTTTGGTAGTTGGGACCTGCCTGCCCACCCAGAATAAACCACAGTCTTTGTAAAGCCAACTTGCTGACCACATAATGCTCATATCTTCAGCTCTCACTGCTCTATCATGGCTGCTGCTGCAATTGGGAAAACATGTGACTTTCTCCTATGAAGCAGTTTATGGGCCTACCCTCAGTCGCTAGCCCAGAGCACTGCCACATGATGGAGATGGTGATGTCACCTGTTCCCCCATGCTCCCACGCCATGCATTGTGGTGTCGGCTGTGAGGAAGAAGAGATGAGTGCAGTATATGGTGCTTGTGGGTTAGCTTTAGCTTAGTAGGCCCTGTTACTCTGCCCTGAATGGGCGAGGTGACAGGTTCTCTTTAAACAGATAATAGTTTTGGTTTGGTGGCAGATTTTCTGCACACCTACATTGGCCATCATGAGAAGGTTTACACCTACAATGTACTTTAGCTGAAGAGTTGCTGAGACTGGAACATGAAGACCCAGTGATAGCAGCCAGACAAGCAGATGTCAAATCTTTGATCAAATCTGGTTAAAGATCTGCAGGCAATTGTTTATGATACCCAGTACTATAGCAAACTACATGTCACCCAATTAGGTTTTAGATCTACTTTAATGTCAAGGTAGCCTGCAGAGAGGTCCAGGACTGGATCACAACATGGGGCAAAAAAAGAAAAAATAGGCCACCTATGTATTTTAAAGCTGACTGAAGAGTCATATACATTCTTCGGGAATCTTGGTGAGCTTTTTGTATTTCTTCCAGATCTGTGCAGTATTTCAGGGTGAGACTTGGAGCTTCCTGTAATAAAGACCGACCACTGCTGCTCTCTGCTTGTGCAGGGTGACTGTTTTTTTCTCCGCCACCTCTTGTAATAAAGATCGGTCATTGCTGCTCTCATTCCTCATGCAGGAAGACTCGTCTTGTCTCCGCCCCCTCCTGTAGATTTCTGCAGGCAGCCTGTACTGGGTGGGGTCTGCAGAAGCCCTCCGACCACTCTGCACAGGCTATGTGCAAAGCCAGCTCTGAGGAAGGGGAAATTCCCCGAAAACGAGTTCAGCTGAGTCAGCTTGTTTCTGCTGGTCTAGCAGCATATTTGGATTGTTTTCTCTGACTGCTAGGAATCTGCATGTATCCTGAGATGTATGTCCAACGCTCATTTTATCCACCTCTTTTGTGAGTACCATTTAAAGGAGAACTATGAGGTAAGTGCTTTTCACTCACCTCATAGTTCTAGCCGACCTGTGACAATGAGACTGTCACAGGTCGGCTCAGTAGATCGGGAGGTGAGCGAACACATACAAGGCGTTCGCTCACCTCTCGATCCTGTCACGGCTCTCTGCCGTGACAGGGGAGGGGGTGGATGCGCCGCTCCGATACGCCAGTGCTGACTGGCGGAACGGACGGGGGAGGGGGCGGGTACAGCTGGCTCTGCCTCTAGATAGGCAGAGCCAGCTGTCACTCACGAAGCTGGGCGGATCCAGACATAATTATCGGGATCCGCTACACCTGCGGCGGCTTAGTATACCGCGAGCAGTAGCTTGCGGTATACTGCGGCGTCTCAGTATACCGCGAGCTACAGCTCGCGGTATACTGAGCCTAGGATGACGGGAGGACGCTAGTTTGTGTCCTCCCGTTACCCTAAGGAGAACTATGGGGAAAAGCCTTAACCCCATAATTCTCCTTTAACATTTTTAATCTTTCTAAACAAATAAAAGGATTATTTGCACCAGGAAAGGCGCCTGCTGTTTCTTTTTTATGTGCAAAGAAAATGCATATCAAAAAGTTTTACAAATGTTACAAATAAAAACAGATATAAACATTTTTAAATAACATGGTATAACCAGATCAACCATATGCAGGATGTCACCTCTGCAATATCTGGGTTCCTTAAGGCATTTAGTGCACAAAAGTGGATTTATACCAGTATGACTGGTATGAGGAGTATGACTAAATGAAAGTTTTTGTGCCCGGAGTTCAGCTTTAACTGATCATGTTCCCTTCCACCCACTCAGCACCCTCTCAGTAAGGAAACATTTGCACCCCTGTTTTCCATTCTGTCCAGCAGTCACTCTTTTCTTGTACTGCTACCCCTTCACTGTTCCCATGTTGTGTTCAGTATTATTTTTAATCGATAATACGAAATCACCTGCGCTCCATGCAGCGTACAGACCTTGGATGAGAGGTTGGTGCTTGAAGTGACAACACGGATGGCGCCGTGTCAGATAGAGTCCATAATAGAAGTCACCAGCGCTGGATGATATGTGCAAGAAGCAAAGCACTTTTTATTCAATCGTCACATGCGTCAAACAGCCAAAGTTTCGTAGCCACGTAGGGTCCCTTCTTCTCGGGGCGACATAGTTTCACTATGTCGCCCAGAAGAAGGGACCCTGCGTGGCCCCGAAACTTTGGCTGTTTGACGCATGTGACAATTGAATAAAAAGTGCTTTGCTTCTTGCACATATCATCCAGTATTATTTTTATACTCATTTTATTTGGTACCGCCTAAAATTATTGGAAGGCGTTCAGTTTATCTAACTGCAAACATGCCTTATAAACCAGTTTTTTCCCTTCTCTGTGTTTAAAACCGCAGTGCACTAAACCCGAAATTAAACAGAGAATTGGTCTTAATCAAACATCTGTGAATGACAGAACAAAGAACAATCAATTTTGCGTTGTGAAAGGAGTCCAGCAGTTGTACAGGCACACCAAGTATCGGAGAGGCTTGGTGTACTTGCCAGGAAAGATGATTAAAGGAAAATTTTACTTCTGTTTCGATTATAAAATGTTATTTTGTAATGTGTGCCTTACTGTAATCCATGGTTGTTTCCCTTCTCTTTGCTGCTCTTCCTTTTAAATCCTCATGTCTTCTCATGCTTGGGGTGAACTTCCCTTTTCAGCTCAGGGCCTCTTCCTGTAGTGCTGGCTCAGGTTTCAAGCCTATACAAACCTACACACAGACACCGTGTATCGATTCCTGAGACAAGGCAGTCTGCTGCAAAACAGAAGTTCTGCAGAGCATGAGAACAGATACAGATTTAAAAGGAAGAGCAGCAAAGAGAAGGGAAACTACCATGGATTACAGTAAGGCGCACATTACAGTATTGTTTTATGTTAAAAAATTTGAGGGTTTAATGTCACTTTAAGCTCTGTGGCCAATGTACCAACACCATTGCTGCACAATAAGACAACCATCTCAATCCAATATGCATCCACCGCTATGCATGGGTAGCATTTGTTCTAGTGCAACAAATGCCCCCTAGTGCCCCCTATCTCAGCGTTTCCTTCCCCAAGTCTTGGTCCCTTCAGACCATACAATAGATGTCAACTTGCTTCTGCAACTTCAAGGGTTCAGGCTGGCGGGTAGAAACCTAACTGGTTTCGCTGGGAGACCATTGCATGTTCAATGGGGGACACCTGTCTCAATGTCAGCTGTATGAAAGGGAATTTCCTGCATTTTTGAGAGTTTTCCTCGTACCACCTGTTGTGTCTACAGGACAGGAAGTAAAGGAAATCTCCCCAGTGGGAAAACCAAAAGTTTCTAATTTCTAACCATTCCCTACTCTATCCAAAAAAGAGAAGGCTTGTCTTTAAATATACTTCAAGGGGGTTTCCACTATCAGACAGCAAGTGGAAAATCCATTTCCGTCCCTCAGCTGCTGTTCAGTTATAGGTTTTAGTTGTAAATAAATTAGTATACTGTATCGTATTTGATCTCTAGAGGCTACAAACAATGAGGCAAGATCGGACCCCCACCGTAGAGTGAATGGTCTGATTGTTATTGCAGTGATGCAATCAAACTAATTATCATGTGATCTTCCAATCTGTCATTGAGGCTTTCATGATTTAGCAGAATTAGGTCAGGTCCAATTAAATCCATCCAGCACTCGGAGCCCGGAGCCAGCCCAACTCTTCTCATGGTCTCTGAGCTTTTGAGATCTTATCGGATGTAATTTAGAGTTCCAGCTGTGAACACTTAGCTGTTAAATGTCTCCTGGTTCCAAAGGCAATTCAATTGCTGACTTAACATCTTATCATATTAGTCTCCCTGTTCCATATGCTCTGATATAGAGCTCTTGCATACAACCAATGAAACTTAATCTGAAGTGGCAATATTTAAAGTGATTCTCTGCTGTCTCTTGTATTATATCCCGTCCGACCTTGAAAGAACGTCAGCTTGTTTCAAAATCACCTCAAATGTGCCCTCATAAGTTGGGATGCACCGATACCAGTTTTTTGGTATTGAGTGCGAGTACCAATAATTATATACACTTCCGGTAGCATGGGGCAGGCTTCCCGTCCAATCAGGAAGCCGGGCAGCACATCATTACCCGCTGCCCAGTTTCTTAATTGCCCGGGAAGCTGGCTCCATGCTGTTTGGCTGACTCCATGCCTCATCAGATTCTATAACCTAGTCAAAGGTTATATTATGTTACAGCGCCTGTGCGGCCACATGATTGTTTCTACAACCACAGTTGCCACTGCGCCTGCGCGGCTATTGGCTTCTAGGACAAATATCAGTTTGTACTAGGTTATAGAATCCGATGAGCCGCTAGCCGCGCAGGCGCAGTGGCAATAGTTAGACAGTTCGACAAGGATTTTCTGCCCATGCGCAATAGCTCCATCTGCTGTACATCTCCTACTGGCAGTCACCGGATGTGACGTGCCCAGTCGGAGAGATCGACAAGTCGGAGCTTTCGATAGAACACCGGTTTCCCAGCTAATTAGCATCGAGTCAGCTTCCCGATCAGGAAGCCAGGAGGCAGGTAATTTACCTGCTGCCTGGCTTCCTGCTTGGCCGGAAAGCCAACTCCATGCTGTTTGGCCAAACAGCCGGCTCGCCTTCTGATTGTGCAGGAAGCCGGCTTTCCAGCCAATTGCATGAAG